AATATAAAAGTAGGTCTGCTCTATAGAGTGAACATTCCCTTTCCCTTCCTAAGGACAAAGTTGGTGGCACATTTTCAGGACTGCAATGCACCAGGAAATATTGCAGAACATTTACTTTACAACTCTGATTTATAAACAAGAAAAAGCCTTGTAAGCAGTATTGGCCCCTTTCTATTCAATTTCCCCTGATGATAGATATTTTCAAGAGAATTCCTTCTGAAAGGAGTTTGTTCCGAACTAAATGGCGGATAGAATTTGAACCAGTTCTCCAAGGCAGAGGGATTTGTGACCCAGGAAAACAGTTCTGTTAGCAAAGCACATGCTTCGTGAGGACCCGACATTGAGCACTCTTAGAAAATACATGTTTGAGAGAAAGGCTTCTTCCTTTCCTCTGACGGCGGCCATAAGGTGAGCCAAGATGGGCGCATACAAGTACATCCAGGAGCTGTGGCGGAAGAAGCAGTCGGACGTGATGCGCTTTCTGCTGAGGGTCCGCTGCTGGCAGTACCGCCAGCTGTCCGCGCTGCACCGGGCTCCACGCCCCACCCGGCCCGACAAAGCGCGGAGGCTGGGCTACAAGGCCAAGCAAGGTGCGTGGTGTCCGAGTGGGCGATCCCTGGTTCCCCCACCCTCCTGCGGTCACTCTAGCTCGGTGTACCCGGGAAGCACTGGGAAAGGCTTAACTGAGTCTCACCTGTCGGCGGTGGGTTTGTCCCTGTCCAGGTTACGTCATATACAGGATTCGCGTCCGCCGTGGTGGCCGCAAACGCCCGGTGCCCAAGGGTGCGACCTACGGCAAGCCTGTCCATCATGGTGTGAACCAGCTAAAGTTTGCCCGAAGCCTTCAGTCTGTTGCTGAGGTAAACGGATCGGGGTACTGGTTGTCCTGGCAACCCGTTAGGGGTTGTGGGCTGGAAGAAATGGGGACCACGGTGGAGTTTGACTGGGCGCAAGGTGGGCTTGGAGGTGTTTTGTACTTAACCTTGGCAAAGAGCAGCTATTATCAAAACTCTTACTACTGCTTGCTGCTTAGGTTTATACTAAGAAGATTTTCGTTTGTTTTAGTGAGCTAGGTCCTGGCAGAACCCTAAGCTTTTGAAGATGGTAAATTTTTGAGCTGTTCTCATATTACATTTAGTTATGCTGCTAATATAATGTTTTTATTCTGGACTGCTAAGCTGTGTTCTATGGTCAGGGACCCCTTTCCAAAAGCTGGAATCTTTTTATTCATTGACTCTTGTATAAGGCCATGGCCCTAACCCCTGTTGCTGGAGGGGACTGTGACAGAACTCACTCCATGCCCGGTGTTTGTATGGTTTTGTTGGGCGGGAGAATAAGAAGGATGATGTTTCTGTCTGCATACCTGTCGTTTTCACTGGGCTTTAGTGTGTGGGGACCTGGCCTGCTTTGGTCTCTGGTGATGCAGAGTTGGGAGGAAGGATTTTTGTCTGAGTTGTTGCCGTGGGCAGTACAGAAGACTGACTGGGCTTTTCCCTGTTTTAGGAGAGAGCTGGACGCCACTGTGGGGCTCTGAGAGTCCTGAATTCTTACTGGGTTGGCGAAGATTCCACATACAAATTTTTTGAGGTTATCCTCATTGATCCATTCCATAAAGCTATCAGAAGAAACCCTGACACCCAATGGATCACCAAACCGGTCCACAAGCACAGAGAGATGCGTGGGCTGACGTCTGCAGGCCGCAAGAGCCGAGGCCTTGGAAAGGGCCACAAGTTCCACCACACTATTGGTGGCTCTCGCCGTGCAGCCTGGAGAAGGCGCAACACTCTGCAGCTCCACCGTTACCGCTAATATACGTAATGTTTGTACAATTCATACCCCAATAAACAATTTAGGACCGTCCTGTCTGCTTAAAGGTGTTATTTGTCTGTTAAGACTGTCGCAGATTGTCATGAATGCTTTGTGGATTATAGCGGTTAAAGTGCAATAATGTTTGAAGATTACAGTGATGGTATATCTTGTTTCTGATGACCTTTCTGTCTGCATTACCTGCTTAGGGGGTTCGGTGTATGGTTTACATCATGTGGTATCCTATGTATGAAGAGTCATAGGACTTGCCCTGTAGAAGTGTTTGGTGCATGTGATAGAACCTGCAGCTTTTTTTGGGATGATAAAATCTTCTAGTCACTGAAGTGGCTGCTTGCTTTAGAGTTGGGATTTTGCTTAGAAATGTAGGAAGAGAAGCTTCCAGCTTGTTTTGTGAACATGCTTAGACAAGGGAGCTCAGCTACAACCCACAATTTGAGATTGAATCCAGTGCCCCATTTTCAGAAGAACCAGGTAAAATTGGAAGAGGCTTCTGTATTCTGTTGGATCTCAGGAGGATGAGCTTGATGTCCAGTAATCGGTGTTGACACCTTGGTGTTTCAAAGGTGGTGGAGATTTGAATTTTGGGTGGGGTGAGGCCTATGTGGGAATGGTATGGTGAGGTTGCCCTGGGCAGATTATTTCCCTTAGGGTTTGTAATCCAGTGATGGGTGCCATGTGGGCTTCAATTAATGCCAGCCAAGTGAACTCTAAAAAGTTGTGGTCAAGATAGTATCCAGCCATTAGGAAGCTTCTAGCCACATAACAAGGATGGTTGGGTACTTAAAGGTCAATCCTGGGCCAGTCAATTCATCTTGGGGGTAAGGAAAGCAGTTGGCCATATGACTTCATTAGTCTTTCCTTTGGTAGTGGTCAGTGGTACTTGTCCCAGGTATATTTCTCAGAGGTTGACATTTCACCAAGGCCACACATAACTACCATGTTTTGTTTGTGCCATGCCTTGGACTAGGTCCCAGGATGAGTATGGAATGAATAGACAGTACAGCCCTTATCAGGGATCTGGGCTAGTGGGCTTAACAATCTTAATTGAAGCTTTTCTTAAACTGTTTTTCTCTTCAGATTTCTAAAGGATTTTACTGATTTCCAGAAAATACTAGATAAAAATCTTGACCTAGAATTCTTTTCTATTCAGCAAAACAAATTGTATAGAGGTTGTTCAACTAAAGTAATAAATGTCTGTTAAAC